GTAAGTAGCCCCATCCAGGTCAGGCAGCCTGTACGTAGGCCCATCCATATCAGGCAGCCTGTACGTAGGCCCATCCAGGTCAGGCAGCCTGTACGTAGCCCCATCCAGGTCAGGCAGCCTGTACGTAGGCCCATCCAGGCAGCCTGTACGTAGGCCCATCCAGGTTAGGCAGCCTGTACGTAGCCCCATCCAGGTCAGGCAGCCTGTACGTAGGCCCATCCAGGTCAGGCAGCCTGTACGTAGCCCCATCCAGGTCAGGCAGCCTGTACGTAGCCCCATCCAGGTCAGGCAGCCTGTACGTAGCCCCATCCAGGTCAGGCAGCCTGTACGTAGGCCCATCCAGGTCAGGCAGCCTGTACGTAGCCCCATCCAGGTCAGGCAGCCTGTACGTAGGCCCATCCAGGTCAGGCAGCCTGTACGTAGCCCCAGCCAGGTCAGGCAGCCTGTACGTAGCCCCATCCAGGTCAGGCAGCCTGTACGTAGCCCCATCCAGGTCAGGCAGCCTGTACGTAGGCCCATCCAGGTCAGGCAGCCTGTACGTAGCCCCATCCAGGTCAGGCAGCCTGTACGTAGGCCCATCCAGGTCAGGCAGCCTGTACGTAGCCCCATCCAGGTCAGGCAGCTTGTACGTAGGCCCATCCAGGTCAGGCAGCCTGTACGTAGCCCCATCCAGGTCAGGCAGCCTGTACGTAGCCCCATCCAGGTCAGGCAGCCTGTACGTAGCCCCATCCAGGTCAGGCAGCCTGTACGTAGGCCCATCCATGTTAGACAGCCCGTACATAGGCCCATCCATGTTAGACAGCCTGTACATAGGCCCATACATGTTAGGCAGCCTGTACGTAGGCCCATCCATGTTAGACAGCCTGTACATAGGCCCATACATGTTAGGCAGCCTGTACGTAGGCCCATACATGTTAGGCCGGCTGTACGTAGGCCCATACATGTTAGGCAGCCTGTACGTAGGCCCATCCATGTTAGACAGCCTGTACGTAGGCCCATCCATGTTAGACAGCCTGTACGTAGGCCCATCCATGTTAGACAGCCTGTACATAGGCCCATACATGTTAGGCAGCCTGTACGTAGGCCCATACATGTTAGGCAGCCTGTACGTAGGCCCATCCATGTTAGGCAGCCTGTACGTAGGCCCATACATGTTAGGCAGCCTGTACGTAGGCCCATCCATGTTAGGCAGCCTGTACGTATGCCCATACATGTTAGGCAGCCTGTACGTAGGCCCATACATGTTAGGCAGCCTGTACGTAGGCCCATACATGTTAGGCAGCCTGTACATAGGCCCGTCCATGTTAGGCAGCCTGTACGTAGGCCTATAATGTTAGGCAGCCTGTACGTAGGCCCGTCCATGTTAGGCAGCCTGTACGTAGGCCTATACATGTTAGGCAGCCTGTACGTAGGCCCATCCATGTTAGGCAGCCTGTACGTAGGCCTGTCTATGTTAGGCAGCCTGTACGTAGGCCCATAAATGTTAGACAGCCTGTACGTAGGCCCATCCATGTTACGCAGCCTTACGTAGGCCCATACATGTTAGGCAGCCTGTACATAGGCCCATACATGTTAGGCAGCCTGTACGTAGGCCCGTCCATGTTAGGTAGCCTGTACATAGGCCCATACATGTTAGGCAGTCTGTACGTAGGCCCGTCCATGTTAGGTAACCTGTGCGTAGGCCTATACATGTTAGGCAGCCTGCATGTAGGCCCATACTTGTTAGGCAGCCTGTACGTAGGCCCATACATGTTAGGCAGCCTGTACATAGGCTCATCCATGTTAGACAGCCTGTACGTAGGCCCATCCATGTTAGACAGCCTGTACGTATGTAGGCCCATCCATGTTAGACAGCCTGTACGTAGGCCCATCCATGTTAGACAGCCTGTACGTAGGCCCATCCATGTTAGACAGCCTGTACGAAGGCCAATCCATGTTAGACAGCCTGTACGTAGGCCCATCCATGTTAGGCAGCCTGTACGTAGGCCCATCCATGTTAGGCAGCCTGTACGTATGTAGGGCCATCCATGTTAGACAGCCTGTACGTAGGCCCATCCATGTTAGACAGCCTGTACGTAGGCCCATCCATGTTAGGCAGCCTGTACGTAGGCCCATCCATGTTAGGCAGCCTGTACGTATGTAGGGCCATCCATGTTAGACAGCCTGTACGTAGGCCCATCCATGTTAGACAGCCTGTACGTAGGCCCATCCATGTTAGGCAGCCTGTACGTAGGCCCATCCATGTTAGGCAGCCTGTACGTAGGCCCATCCATGTTAGACAGCCTGTACGTAGGCCCATCCATGTTAGGCAGCCTGTACGTAGGCCCATCCATGTTAGACAGCCTGTACGTAGGCCCATCCATGTTAGACAGCCTGTACGTATGTAGGCCCATCCATGTTAGACAGCCTGTACGTAGGCCCATCCATGTTAGACAGCCTGTACGTAGGCCCATCCATGTTAGGCAGCCTGTACGTAGGCCCATCCATGTTAGGCAGCCTGTACGTAGGCCCATCCATGTTAGGCAGCCTGTACGTAGGCCCATCCATGTTAGGCAGCCTGTACGTAGGCTCATCCATGTTAGGCAGCCTGTACGTAGGCCCATCCATGTTAGGCAGCCTGTATGTAGGCCCATCCATGTTAGGCAGCCTGTACGTAGGCCCATCCATGTTAGGTAGCCTGTACGTAGGCCCATCCATGTTAGGCAGCCTGTACATAGGCCCATCCATGTTAGGCAGCCTGTACGTAGGCCCATCCATGTTAGGCAGCCTGTACGTAGGCCCATCCATGTTAGGCAGCCTGTACGTAGGCCCATCCATGTTAGGCAGCCTGTATGTAGGCCCATCCATGTTAGGCAGCCTGTACGTAGGCCCATCCATGTTAGACAGCCTGTACGTAGGCCCATCCATGTTAGGCAGCCTGTATGTAGGCCCATCCATGTTAGACAGCCTGTATGTAGGCCCATCCATGTTAGGCAGCCTGTACGTAGGCCCATTCATGTTAGACAGCCTGTACGTAGGCCCATCCATGTTAGGCAGCCTGTACGTAGGCCCATCCATGTTAGACAGCCTGTACGTAGGCCCATCCATGTTAGGCAGCCTGTACGTAGGCCCATCCATGTTAGACAGCCTGTACGTAGGCCCATCCATGTTAGACAGCCTGTACGTATGTAGGCCCATCCATGTTAGACAGCCTGTACGTAGGCCCATCCATGTTAGGCAGCCTGTACGTAGGCCCATCCATGTTAGGCAGCCTGTACGTAGACCCATCCATGTTAGGTAGCCTGTACGTAGGCCCATCCATGTTAGGCAGCCTGTACGTAGGCTCATCCATGTTAGGCAGCCTGTACGTAGGCCCATCCATGTTAGGCAGCCTGTACGTAGGCCCATCCATGTTAGACAGCCTGTACGTAGGCCCATCCATGTTAGGCAGCCTGTATGTAGGCCCATCCATGTTAGACAGCCTGTACGTAGGCCCATCCATGTTAGACAGCCTGTATGTAGGCCCATCCATGTTAGACAGCCTGTACGTAGGCCCATCCATGTTAGACAGCCTGTATGTAGGCCCATCCATGTTAGGCAGCCTGTACGTAGGCCCATCCATGTTAGACAGCCTGTACGTAGGCCCATCCATGTTAGGCAGCCTGTACGTAGACCCATCCATGTTAGACAGCCTGTACGTAGACCCATCCATGTTAGGCAGCCTGTACATAGACCCACCAGGTTCTCCTAGGCTCACTACTGACCTTTCCTCAGGATGTACCACATAACAGTGCTCTAACTCCCGGGTATCTGTATATGACTACTAAATGAACAGTACCATCAGGTGAAAGGAAACATGCCCGTGCATTGTGAGGGAAACACGTAGACTACTGCGCTATGCCAGACCTGGCATATTCCCCACACCCACTCCATTACTGTTCCTCCACAACATTTCACAATTTCAAGATATATCTACACGATATACAGATACTGTAGGACTGTAGAATGCCTACTATTACTACACCTTTACCTTTGCCACAGTGTACAGTCCTACAGGGACATGGGCTGGTGTAGGATGGTGCAGTCTTCTCACACCATCACATCAAATACTGTTAACAATAGCACCTCTTTCATCACTTCCACCCATTGAACTTTCAAAGTATTTTCTCCACCAACAATTAATCTCTTCTACATCATTTAACATTTCCCCCATGTCTACCTTCTATATCCCCCATTTATCCATTAGCCTTCCTACTGCAGTTCCTTATCTTTCAAATGAGCGTCTTGATTTCTAAATAATTTTATTTATGATTTCTCTCCATCTCCTCATTCGCCGTGTTATTTTGTATTGAGATTA